TAAATTAATTAATTAACATAATAAAAATTTTAAAAAAAAAAAACCTTCATCTTCCCCAAATCGCACCCGTGCCCACCCTCCCATCACCCACCTCTTCGTCTTCCCCAAATCCCACCCGTGCCCACCCTCCCATCACCCACCCCTTCACCTACCCCCCAACACTCTTTCTCTTGCACCACTTATACTCGGACTTTTCTCATCGCTCCTGCGAAATCAACTGTGACACCCCCGACCAACCCCACTCCGCTCCCTCTGCGACACCCCTAACAACACCAATGGATCCTCTTCGACGGCTCCGGTCACGACTTTAGTTCAGATCGGGTCTCTCGATGGATCCTCTCCAATAACTCTGGTCACTGACTTGCCGACAAACCTTGATTTCTTGAAGATCGCCACACCAGAGAATTGGTGATGTCTTAGGCAAAGATTAAGAGGTAGATCCAAGAGTTGCAGAGGATGTAAATCATTGTTGGTCACGAGCCGAGAGGCATATGAACACTGAGGGTATCCGGTGACGACTGGGGTGGGAGGGTGATGGAAGGGTGGGAGGGTGGGCATGGGTAGTCACAAATGGTGATGTGGGTTTGTTGAAGATTGTGGCATGAAGTCTTTAGTTGCAGATTGGACATTTTGGGGGAAGGTTTGATTGAGGCTGGCTAAGTGCGAATGAGGCTGAAATTGATCGTTTTTATCAGCGAAACCAGTTTCCATTGAAGTTTCAAGACTTGGGGAATTGAGGGGTTTTTTTATTTTTTTGACTTTGCATGAATGAAGCTTCATGCTTTTGTGATTTCCTGGTAAAGTTTTGCATGAAAGTTTGTTTCTTTGGGGGGGTTTGAATGTGTGTTTGATGGTGAAATATGATATTTGCAGTAAAAAAAAAGGGAAGAAAAGGAGTTGGGGAAGACGAAGAGGTGGGAGATGGGAGGGTGGGCACGGGTGGGATTCGAGGAAGATGAAGGGTTTTTTTTTTAATTTTTTTTAAAATTATATTTATTTTATAAATAATTTATTTTTAATTTCCACGTGGATGACACGTGACACCCTGTCATTGTCCACATGGATGCCACATCATAGTTAATGGGATACTAAACAGTTTGACTAACGGATATATGAGACTGACCCAAAATTTACACTTTAGGTATGACTCTGGAACGAAAAAAACTTGATGTACTAAATGTTAAAAACCACAAAACCAAAACAGAGATCAGAGCCGGCCCTGAGGGTGTGCAAAAGGTGTCACCGCACAGGGCCCCAGATTTAAAAGGGCCCCCAAATTTTCATTACATGTATACAGATGCATATAAATAGATTAGATGCAAAAGGTAATTTTATATGTGGTTCTAGCGCTAGCGGTTTAGCTTTTTTACCTTATGACCCATGTGTTGGGTTCGAATACCTTTGATATTGCTTTTCTATTTTTTTAGCTTTTGCAAATTTGCAAACATAAAAAGGAGATAACAAAAACGCATCCAACGTGTATCGAACTCAAGACCTTTGAACGTAAGGAAAAAAGCATGCCCAATCAAACAACTTATTTTTGTTACAGAAACTTGTAATATTTTACTTTTATAGAGGCAAAAATTGAAAAAAAATAATAAAGAAATATAACATAAAAAAAATGAAGAGCATCCATCAAAATTTTGCACAGGGCCCCCAAATACTCAGGGTCGATCCTGATAGAGATTTACCCTTTTATTTATTAGCACGTGTTGATGCACAAAACCGGAGCGGTCTTGGAACAACGTAAATCCGACCGTGAATCTGCAAGAAAGTAAAAAACACAAGATGATCGTGGTTCACCCCAATGTTTGGGCTATGTCCATATTGATGTTAATTGTATTTCTCTGTAACTATATGTATGGATTACAAGTGTGAGGGGGAGTCCCCTAGAGAAAAAGAGAGTTTGAGAGAGCTTTACTCTGAATATGTGAGGGTTTGTGAGAGGGTTGTGAGGCCTTCCCATTGTGAGGGTGAGAAGTCCCTTTTATAGACTAAGGGCTCCTCCCATTTTACATAGATCATAGGCTCAATGTCTGGAAGCCCAAATAACGAGGCCCAATATAATATGGTACTAACAGTAGTCCCCCAAGTCTTCAGTCAAGAGAGTCTTTTGGCTGGAGACTTGAAATTCAGTCCATGTGTGGGCCGAAGTAACTAGATGTCGTCTAGAACTGATACTCGATATGAGGTGATGCTCAATGTGAAATGATGCTCAACTAGAAGTAGCACATGTTGCGAGGCTGCTTGGCTTGTGGCTTATGTTGCATTGGTTAGCTCGGCTTGTGGCGTTGAAGGTGAGAGAGTCCATTTTATAGAATAAGGGCTCGCTCCTCAATACATAAGTGATGGGTTAGGAGTGATGCTCGCGGCGAGGCGGTTACTCAGCTGGCGGCGATGCTCTTTAATGGAGGTAAGGGAGTCCCTTTAATAAAATAAGGGTTCGCTCCTCCGTACATGAATAATGGGTACTCTCTAATGAAAGTGAGGGAGTCCCTTTTATAGAATAAAGGTTTACTCATCAGTACATAAATAATAGGCTAAGTCCCCCAAGTATTTTTCATGAGGCCCAGTTATGGAAGCCCAATATATGGTACATAGTGTAGTCCCCCAAGTCTTCAGTCAATAGAGTCTGTTGCCTGGAGACTTCAAATTCAATCTATGTATGGGCCGAAGTGACGGTTGTTCGGATGCGGTCTTTGTATACCATGCATTGAAACTTTTGTATGTGAAGCTTTGAAAGTGAAGCTTTGCAGCTGGAGCTTTTGTAAATGAAGCTTTTGAAGTTGGAGCTCTCGAAGTTGGATCTCTGTAAATGAAGCTTTCAAAACTGATTGACATGAGTGATGCTCATGAATGTTTATGTTGATTGACATGAGTGATGCTCATGGATGTTGACATGAGTGATGCTCATGAATGTTGATGTGAGTGATGGTCATGAATGTTTATATATAATTGACATGAGTGATGCTCATGAATGTTTATGTATAATTGACATGAGTAATGCTTATGTATAATTTTGCAGTACTGGACGTACTTTTGATCACCTGGTTGGTGATAATAGCAGCAGACTGCCGAATAATTTTAGAGTACTGGACATACTTTTGATCACCTGGTTGGCGATAATAGAGGGTGAACCTTTAAGTGGAGGGATGTAGGTTGGAGTTTATAGCCATAATGCCTGGCTCTTTTGGGCATATGGGTCTTCGCCCTCCACATAACATTCCAGCCCACTATTCTGGGTTTGCCGACATTTTGCCCTTTTTTTTTATGGCAGATAAGGAAATAATGAATTATTATGAGAACAGGAATCTTATCTCCGCTTTTCCCAGTGGCTTCTTCAGAAAAGTAGGAACATGCATGATGAAAGTTTTCTTTTTCAAAAGTTGATGGCATCTTCTGATGGCTTACATGTTGTAAGAATAAAATTCTTATCTTCTCTGTTTGTTCATCATTGCTCTAGCAGTGGAATTATGAGCAGAGGCCTCATCCAAATCTGAGATCCGAAATGTACCTTCCCGATGTGTAGGGAGTTCCTCAAGCGCTCTCAATGTCTCATCACCTTGGTTAACTTTCCCAAATATTGCATACTTCCCATCAAGATGAGGGGAATCTCCAAGCGGCATTGAGAAGGAGGATCTGGCGCTGTTCGGATCTTATATGTATTCCCAAAGTATGACAGTTAAAAGTACGATTACATTCTTGCAAAATGAAGCTTATCTGAGTGCATCATAACCACATCCAGTCGAAACTATACAGTTTATACCATCAGATGGCCCATTCTGTTTGAGTCATATGATATCACGGTTATCACCAACAGACTTGGATAAAACAAGGTATCAGACTTTGCTGGAGATTCCATGAGATTGTCAGGGAGAAGGAATGGATCTCCAATTGTGAGTCCATTCAAAATAGATGCCATAATCTCGCTGAGATAACGCTTGTGAGAGTGGAAATTGTTGAGGTAAACCTCATCTTCAGGATCTCTGCCCCGCTTCCCAGATGGAGATGGTGAAGAAGACGATGAAGTTGATGTAGCAAATGCATTTGCAGATGATGAAAATTCTATCTCTGGGCCGCCACCACTTCCTCCTTTTCCTCTGCCTCCGCCTGATAAGCTCGACTCCGAACGCATTTGATAGCTTACTCTCACGCTTTCTCTCTCGCCTAATCTCTTTTTACTGGATTTTCTTCTTGGATTAATCTTAATTAATCACTTTTGTTTGTTTTGTTTTTGTGCTCATAATCTCATAGAGAGAGAGAGAGAGAGAAAGAAAGAAGGTCGAAAATGAAGAGGAGAAGAGAGAGAGAGAGATTTCTTGGGTTTTGCAGATTCTCGGTGGATATTGTGGTGAGGTTTCACGGTGGTGAGATGAAAAATTGAGAGAGAACCGACATAGTTTTTCGTGTTGATTCCCACAGACGACGCCAAATGTTGATGCACAAAACCGGAAGGATCTTGGAACAACATAAATCCGACCGTGAATCTGCAAGAAAGTAAAGAACACAAGATGTATCGTGGTTCACCCCAATGTTTGGGCTATGTCCACACTGATGTTGATTGTATTTCTCTATAACTGTATGTATGGATTACAAGTGTAAGGGGGAGTCCCCCAGAGAAAGAGAGAGTTTGAGAGAGTTTTGCTCTGAATATGAGAGGGTTTGTGAGAGGGTTGTGAGGCATTCCCATTGTGAGGGTGAAGAGTCTCTTTTATAGACTAAGGGCTCCTTCCCTTTTACATAGATCATGAACTCAATGTCTGAAAGTCCAAGTAACAAGACCCAATGTAATATGGTACTAACAGCATGAAACCACATAGTGACGGTAAGGCCGTACCAGGTAAGTCATCTGCCTTTGTGATTCACTGCATCAGGATTGCAGCTAAGTCGTGGACTCGCGGTGCATCCGCGTCTTTAGACCGTTCATCTTGCTTCTTCATTGCTTTTGACTTTTGGAACGGCTGAAGATTTGATTTCCCGTGTCTTAAACCCTTTGGAATTGCAATGTAATGAGTGAAAACAATGTGACAGACGTTTGTGGGTTTTTTTGAGTGGAGAGATGAGAAGATGGGTAGTCATGCAGTTGTAGTAGGCCTTCCTTCTCCTCCAAATCGTAACGGCTCTCTCTCTCCTCCAATTCCCACAACTTCTATAAGCAGCTCGGTAGTCTCTCTCTCTCTCTCTCTCTCTCTCTCTCTCACACACACACACACACTGGTGATGATAGAAATGGGTAAATTTTGCAGAAGAAAAAGGATGGAATTGGAGAGCAAATGGCAAGGAAGCAGACAGGGGATGGTGGGTACAAGTGGCGTTTGGTGATTGCTTATGACGGCACCCGTTATGCAGGTTATTTCTTTCTTGCATTAAAATTCAAAGCTTTGAGCTTTGCCCTCCTCCTGCTTCAATTGTGATGTGCTTTGCTTTGTTAGGCGTTGGCAAGTCTTGGGTTTTGCTAATTATTACGTTTGTGAGGAACCCAATTGCTAATATTGAAGGAAAAAGTGGTTTCTTTATTTTTCGATTTTATGTTTCGATGAGAATTACATTGGCTAGAGCAAATATGCTCTTCTGTGCACCTGATTTCGAATCCCTTCCCCACAACTTTGATTAGTTTAAGGTATAATATCGCTTGTATATAAAGGAAAAAAGTTTCTGCTGACAATAAGCTCTGCTTAGAAAATGATTCTATGATATATTTGACATAACGCCGCTGAGAAGGATTTACATTTTCCTCAACTTCCAACTTTGTGCATCTTACTTGTGCTAGTGCTATGTTCTTTTTGTAAATCGGGCACCTTATAGTCGTGAAGGTCATTCTTTGTTTTCAAGTTGAGGAGAAATCTGCCGTATTACCAGTTATATATAATCATGTGTCTGCCTTGGGTCTATCTCATCATGCCTGGGATGGGAGAGATAGGTTTATGGTTGTATACAACCGGTGACACCCAAGAACCTCTCCAGTTTGAGATATTTAAGATGCCCATTTCAAAAGTTCTCAACTTGATGTTAAGCTCCAACTTTCTGCATCAATCATCTCCCAACACCTCAATGAATGTGACAGGATGGCAATACCAGAGTTCACCGCCTACAATACAGTGCTTTGTGGAGAATGCTCTAATGGGCGCAACAAAGCTGGAAAGGAAGGATCTTCATTTCGTTGGTGCAAGTAGGACAGATAAAGGAGTACATGCCTGGGGTCAGGTCTGACTTTCTCACAACAAGCATTTTCACAACCACAACATATCACAGACTTACTTGCAGTTGAGCTTTTCAGGTTGCACACTTTGTCACACCTTTCAACTATGACAGCATTGAAAGCATTCATGCTGCTCTTAACGGTCTTCTTCCTGATGATATCCGAGTTAGGGAGATCAGCCCTGCAGTGCCTGAATTCCATGCTCGTTTTTCAGCGAGAAGCAAGATTTATCATTACAAAATATATAACGACACATTCATGGATCCATTTCAGCGTCACTATGCTTACCATAGTGCTCATAAGCTAAACGCCGCTGTTATGCGAGAAGCTTCAAAGTATTTTATTGGAAAGCATGATTTCTCTGCTTTTGTCAATGCCTCCCAGAAGGAACGAGTGCGTGATCCAGTGAAGGATATATTCCGTTTTGAGGTCATTGAAATGGTAGCAACCAAAACCCACAAGATTTCTTGAACAGTAGTTGAATGTTAGAGTTCTCTGCATTACTTTTCATTGATTGATATTTCTGTATAATCATCTTAAACCAATTTGATTAGCACTTGTGTTTCATTTTTGTATCAATAAATAACTGATTCTTTAGTCATATCCTTGTTTAGGGAGCTCTTTTACAGCTAGAAGTTGAAGGCTCCGGCTTCTTATACAGACAAGTCCGGAACATGGTGAAGCATTCATTTTAACCATTTTTGTCAGAAGTTAATGTCTTTTTAGTTCCAAGCAACGGATCCATAAGCATTTGCATTTTTACACCACTGCAGGTTGCTCTGCTGATTCAAATTGGAAGGGAAGCGCTTCCTCCTGATATTGTTCCCAAGCTATTGGCAACACGAGATCGTAGGGCGCTTGCCAAATATACCATGTTTACTCCACCTCATGGGCTTTGTCTCGTGACGGTCAAGTATAACGAGGAGCATCTACGGCTTCCATCCAGTTGCTCCACAACCAGTTTTGGTAGGCATTATACTATCGGCTCATGTAAGCTTCCATTCTACTAAGAATTTCACTTGTACCAAGCAGTTTACAAGAAGTAATAACATGATTATTCACCATTGAAATTCAGTTTCTGTTATAAGTATCACATAATTCTTTCCTTTGGATCCGGTGATTTGTTGACAGCTTTAAAATTTTCACGGTCACTGAGGTTTTTGAAACTCATCACTTTGGTCCATAACGTTGAACATTGCTTAATATCATCCTCCACGTTATGCTCTGAAATCTAGCTCTATTAGGAAAGACGGATTATATGTTCTAGGAGATTGTCGATTTAGTGCTTAAAACGTTAAATGCGAAATATCAACAACGTATTGTCCCTCTCTATCATTACTTTATATTTATTTCATTTTATACAAATAGTAACATGATATCGTAAAGCATTTTACAAGGTGCACAAAGAGTTATGTGCTTGTAGTTGGTTGTTGATCAAAAGTAGCTAATATTTCAGAGTCATGGTCTTCATCAATCACTTCAGTGATTTCTCTCCCATGACGCTCGCTACTTTCAAATTTCCAACTGCTCCCAAAAGATATCTCACCATCATAAGTCACAGTGCTTGCAACGATCTTCGGATTTTCTTCCTCTTTGGTGATTTCTGGAATAACGGATAAACTTGTTATGTATGGGGTTGGTGGAGCTTTTTGTGGGACTTCCTCTTCTGTGATTTCAGAGGTTGAAGAAGAGCTTATCGCTACAGGAGGTGGAAAACGCTGATCAGAATCTGGAGCTTCCTTAACTATTTTATCCGAGATTGAAACTTCAGTTGTGTCAAAATTGTGTGCAAGATGCGACGATGAGTGGGAGTGGCTCCTTGAAATGGATCTGCTCTTGGAAAGACTGTGTCTTGCTTTCTTGTGCCAGTTTTGGAGGCCTTCAACTACAGATTCAGTAAACACTGCTCTCCTCATGCCAGAACCCATCTATCAAGTAAACCAACCATTAATGAAAAGGAAAAACAAAAAAGAAGTAATGTCATTGATTTTGAAATTACTATCCATTACTCTCTGTATCTCAATTCTTTCAATCTCATATATATCCACATTTTCTTAAGGGTACTACATCTGAAGGACCTTCAGATGATGTTCTATATTTCATCGTAAAACTAATTGACAATATGGAAAGGAACTAAACTCCTTATGATGACATATAAGGTCCCTTAATTTCCCGATGTGGGAGTTGGATTCACACTCTTGTTTGGTGCACACGATTGAGGTCTGGTTTGGTACTGAGGTGATTCTGAAAAAAGCTGGTATCAAAAAAGGTTGGGAGCTTTTTTGTTTTTGGTAAACATTCAGCTTCAACTTTTTTTCACAGTTTTGGGTAAAAAAAGCCAAAAACAAGAAGATACAAAACCCAGCTTTGAAAAACCGGCTTCTTTTCACTTCTGTTTTATATAAAAGTTTATCAAACACTATAATACTGCTTTTTTCTTTTCAAAAGCATTTTTACAAAAAGTTTACCAAACACTCTACAGCTTTATTTTACAACTGCTTATTCTCACAACACAGCAGAAGCAACTTTTTTTCAAAGCACAGCAATACCAAACCAGCCCTAGATTGGATTGAAGAAATCATATAATTCAAGGTATGTGTAAGGGTTGAGGTGAATAATTTTCATTTTGTGGGGATTGAAGGGGATGAGGTCCTTTATAAGTAATCTATCTTCTACCTTCAAGTTGAACGGAAATTTCATCATTTCTTCCTTCAACATACCTTGAATACTATGAGTTTTCCGATCCAATCTAAGCCAATCATAGTCACTTAGTTAAGGAGAGATAAGTCTTTACCTGGGTAACAAGGACATGGAGAGGCAGGGTCACATAACCACAAATTAACTGCACAACCACTCCCATGGTAATCCTTATGGCTATGATTTCACTTTTGCGATTTAAGCAAGACCCTGAACCAGACTCAAACTGTAACAATTGGCAATATATACAGGATCAGCTTTAATTACAGGAAGTAAAAATTGCTTGAATTTGTCAAGTTATATAAGATACCTACCCATGTCCAGGTTAAGAATGCCAGGTGAAAGGAGTTCTGCAAAACCAGTTCAAATGCTATATTCAATATCATTCTTATAATTTGGAAATACTGCAAGGGGAATGTTTCGTAGCCACTGTTTGGCACATGTTGTCAGACGGTAAATCCGGATTATTGATCGAATTGGTTCTTAAAAAATATTAGAACTGAATGAAATATCCCTACGTAGTGGCCCTTTTGTTGCAGTGGTTCTTGTTTAAAATTTAAATACAAGATTTAGAGGCTGCCATTAAATCTTGATGATAATTAGGAAGATCATCAAGTGAATTTGTTTTGTAACAAGCAGATCATAAACTGTCATTAATTCTTACTTATGTGCGTGACCAAATTCTCAGTGTGGTAACAACAGTAAAACGTTTGACAAGAACTGTATTTTATGAATACCTTATTTATAGTTATCCATGCATGCATGTGTTTGTAACGACGTTGAATAACCTAAACTGTCTAGTTTTTAAATATCCTTTTAAGAATTATTCCTAATAAAAATCATTGAAGTATACCTGGATTAGGACGAGTTGGATGAGGTGAAGAAGCCATCTGGGTCGACCAAACCAAAACAAGTCATCATTGAGCTGCACTAAAACACGTCCTCGAACAACGGAAGTATTCTTGCAGCTCTCCACACACATTTTAGTTATTATCACCTCCAGCTTTGCTCCCACGACTATCACGATCTTTGAGAAAATGAAAAAAAGTCGGCAGTGTTATATAATCTTTAAGAAAAGGAAAAAAGTTGGCAGTATTATATAATATCTATATATGTAATTAAAAAAATAGAAACTTGACGCGTTGATTAATTTGTTTTGTTTTGTATAATAGATGCCGTACCAGTAAGGGAATGAATGGCAGCCAATAATGATCATAAAACACTGCAAATAATAAATAAATAAATAATCATAACAAAGAAAATGTTAAACGTCAATCAATATAAAATAACATATATATTACTTTTATTTTCCAACAAGCTTAAGCCGCTCTTACCATGCGAACTGAGAAATATGAAAAGGATAGAGAAGAGCCAAATCCAAAATCTGCAAGAGATTACCAAAATGTCATATTCTACATATAATTTGTAGCAAGCTAAAGCATCTTGTGTTAACCATGAGTAGCAAGATACGAAAAATGTATATTATTAATGGTTGTGTTGTTAATATGGCGCAGTTGATTTAAATCAAGTTGGTGATCGATTAGGGGTTCTGATTGTGTATTACTACTTGGCAAATGATTGATGAGTAAGAGTCTCCCAAAATATCATGCTTTTTGTTTCTTTTACAAGATATTCTAAATTACTCTAAATTTACTTAAACAACGAAAATTTGAAATTAATTATGTACAAAGAGAAATGATGCATTGTTCTAATCAATTGACTTAACTCACATCTGTATCTTATTCATTTGTTAAAAATATTATACATTATGTTTATGACATTGTCTCATTATTAAAAGCGAGTATTTTTTCGTACCTAATGCCAACCACTTGCTCAAAGTCGTCATCGAAAGCTCTTGCAAGGAATCTCAGGAAATTGAAGTTGTTGCCGTCTGCAAAGTTGGCCTGTGAAGTCAAACATGAAACATAAGAAATTAGTCACACACATGTTTTTACATTTTTTTTTTAAAATCGAGGCCAACGCATAACATTTGATCTTGCTTACCCTAATGAAACCATTCCTCAGAGTCATGTAATCAGTTTTTGAGATTGAACCACAGAACTGTCGAGCAAAACAAACCTATACAAACCATGCAATGCAAGGAGAGAAACAAGAAATATTAATATAGTTGCACAACACCAAAATTTTATGAACATATAGTCGTATAAAAGCTTTTTGGATTGAATTTTTAATTTGGTCTGCATTAATACATATACTTACAATATATATAACCTATGAATAAACAACTTTGTACCTAAACTAAATGCTTACATATTAAAATATAGCACCTAAAAGGAACAAAAAGAAAACTCAAACTAACACCCAGTTTTGGACTTTAATGAAAAAGTCAAAACATTTGTTTGGTATGAACTAATTTCCTAATAAATTAATCTCAATATATGTATATGTTTGTCTAGTATTAAACTAACAAAAAATTACTATAATCTTTTGTATCTTTTTGTTTGAAATATTTTTCTTCCATAATATTGGAATAAGTCCCGATTTCGAATCCCTATTCCTTTAATTAAAAACAGTATGAAGTATTGAAATTACTGTACGAAATTAAGAAATCAGGCGTAAGGATCCAATTATATTATGACTTACAGGCCAAAGCAGCAGAGGATGTTTACTCCAGAACTTTAAATGTCTTTTCCCAAAAGGAGTTTGGTGGATGAGTTGGAACCTCCTTGAATCTGTATATACATAACAAAATTTCCTCAGAAGCGTGAAGCGTAAATACATATATACTGAGTAACTATTATATACAGTCTTACAGAACAGAGGCAAAGAGTTACCATTAAGGATCTGATATTCAAGTGTTCGAGTCTCATTCTCCCATGCATTCCATTTCCCCATCTGTTTTTTCTCAGAATCAAGATTCGATGAAAGTTATAAACTTATAAGACACAAATCTTTAATTATAAGAAGAAAGCACATGCATGCATGCCAACATCATTAACCGAGCCCTAATAAGATTGTAAGTGAGAAATACATTTAATTAGAATTTAGTTGCAAAACTAATTATCATTTGGAGAGAGCATTCTCGAAAAATTAAGTAGCTCAAACAAAAATCATAGGATAATACTTGCGTTCCCCCTCTGTGGGGATGAGCTTATTCTCCCCGTATAATGTATTCATCCTACAAATTTCATAATCGGAACCGTTTAATTTTTTAATTTAATTTAAAGATCACCCCGGTACAAAAATCATTTGAGTTGAAGGTCTTTTAGTCATTAAAATGTATAGAACAAATCAACGGTGTGGGTACCAGTAACATATATATTCATGATGGACCATTTTATTTATTTTATATGTTTGGATGATTAAACGATTTTAGAATTGAATGTTTTTTTTTAAGAATGATCTTCAAGTGTGACGATTAAGAAATTGAATGGTTTCAATTGTTTATTTGCTCAAGATACGTTATTTGCAAATGGAGATATATGTGTATCCCCTCATGGGATGCAAGTATTCTCCAAAATCATATAGGTAGTCATTTAATTTTGATTAGATAAATAGACAAATGTGATGTTTCCAAAAAGAATAAAGTTAGCCGGACACACAAAATTGACACAACTTGATGGCAGACTCTAATAAAAGAGGGCAGTTTGTAAACAAATATGTTAATTTTGTGTTTCTAGCATATCACCATCCTAATAATAAATAGTAATTATGATGATAACTAAATTATGGCTAATACGTACCGTAATACGATTACAATAAGGTAAAACATGGCTAATAATAATCTTATTGATTGTTGTTGTTGTGAACTTTATCATCATGTGCTTGCAAATGAAATGATTTTTGTAGGGGTAATTTTTAAACGAAGATTAAGAAATTGAACAGTTTCGATTATGAAATTTGAATGGTTAAGATACATTATTCATGTTGGGAAATGAGCTCATCCGGCAAGGGAGGAATACTAGTGTTATCATTCAAAAATAATAATAAGAATATTAATAATAAGTTAATGCATGTGTCCCTTCTCCCACTTACAATAAACGAACTTTTATCGTCCAAACATTATAATGAGAACCGTTCATTATCTTTATCATCATCTAAAGATCATATATGCAAAAAATTATTCAATTTGTAGATCTTTTAGCCATTTATATGCATAAAATAAATAGACAGTTCATCATAAAGATACTACTTGTTACCAAAAACCATTGATTTTGGTTTAACAAGTATGGATGATTAAACGCTCTCCAAATTGAACATTTTTTTGTATATTAGATGATGACAAAGAAAATGAATGAACTGTTCCAGTTATAATCTTCGGACGATAAAAATTAGTTATTCGTAAGCGTGGTAACACAAGTGTTATCCTTAATAATATTACTAGTATTATTAGCCTTATATAAAGGATGTACATATGAGTTGCCCACATTGCAAGATACTTGTTTTGATACCTTGGCCATCCCGAGAAACATGGTTAAGATGCAGTAGAGCACATGAAAAACTGTCACCAGAGAGATTAAGATGTTCAGCTGCAAGACTCCTGCCCTTGGCAATAAAGGAACCATCCCCTAAATACCACATTAAAAAATGTATATATTAATCCCAAACGACCATATACCATGATATTATTATTATTATTATTATTAATTAAATCATATTATTAATTTAACGCCGGTTACTTTCTCAGGGCTCCGCAAGAGAAGAAAAAAAATTAAGTGAGGTCATTAAAGGGAAATAAATTAACTGCTGCCATTGACTCTACACTACTGGCACTAGTAGTAGTACGATGGATGAAAGAATATAATATAATGGATGGTATCATGGTAGCTGTATTTTTGGACTGATTAATATTGGTTGAACCAAATTAAAAATTATGGTATTCTCAATCAAGAGTTGTATACAATTATACGTCACCTGTTTTTTAACACGTGCTACGTTACATATATTAACATATATATCAGATGAAATTACTACTATATTAAGCCTGATTAGGTCCATGATTGTTATAAGTCATTGCATATAGTATGTATAAACTATAAATTGTACCTTTGCCTCGCAATAGTTTTGATCGTTGACTTCCTTAGAGCGATTGGTGGAATTTGAGCGTGGGACTTGCGTGGCTGATGAGACAGAAGGTTCTACGTCTAAGGAGTTAACGGGATATTTGCATAGAAGAAAAGTGTTTGCCACAGCTTGGCCAACGCAGATTTGTGATATTGGTTCTTCTGATATCGTTAGAAGCAGTGACATGAGACCCAGTTTCATCATTTCTATATTTAAAGTACAAGAAAATGAATTAAGAACAAAGTAAATGGTTATTGTGCGTCTTAGCACGAACTTCCACTGAAAAAATAATCATAAGAGACTTTCGACTAATTGAGAAATGCAGAAAGACAACGAGCAATTCGTGGAGAGTGCAATCAACAAAGGCTTGCAATAACCTGTTTTGAACTTCATCAAAGCCCTGTTTAGGGATTTTCTTCTCCCCCTGTTGAGAAACTGATCACGATGAAACAAAAACCAATTACATTCGAAACCATCTCATGTTTCATGATTAATATGACAGTAACATAATATAAATACAGTAGTAAGTACATGCATACCTTTGTTAAAAGGTGAAGAATAGTGTCGATGAGGAAGGATAGGAAGAAGAAAATCAAAGCAAATACTGAAACAGCCCATGTTGGCGTTTCTTCAAGGGAACGTGCCATCTCTCTCTCTCTCTCTCTCTACAGACATCCATAGACTGTTAGACATCCATGTATTTATACTTGCTTTCGGCAATAAGGTGATATTTTTTTTTTTGTTTTGTCCTTTTTTCCTGGTTTGACGATATATAAGATTTTTGCTAGGGTTTATTGTGAACCAAGTTATCTTATTACTATAACATGACAACGTGCAGGTACTACAACTGGTACGTATAAGTACGGAAAAATGTAGTTGTTTGACATCAATCAATTAATTAATTCTTTAAACAAGTAATATTTCCCTGTCTAAGAAAAAATGTACGGTGTGATCGATAACTGTCAACTTCTATGACAACCGCATGCAACCAAATTAACAATATATATAAATACTAATCAACATTTTCGCGCAGAGAGATTATTTTCTCGACGAATGCGGAAGCAAAAGTCAAAGTCGTACATTTTTTAAATTTTTTTTAAGGATCACAGTTTTCTTCCACGTATATGGCCAGTTGTTGTAATAATCCAAAGTTCTTATGCTTATCGAGTTATCAATCTTACTTATTTTGTACGGAGTCAACGAACAAGGATCCATCAGTTTGATTTTCTTTCTTTTCAAAAAATCTAGTAAATAGTGTTGAATGTGATCCTTCACTAGCTATCAACTTCATCAATGGTCAGTGACTCGTTGTGTTTCTTATTTTCTACCCATCCCTATATTGGTGAATTATGCTGTTCATTTTCTGGTATGAATGGAATAGGGTGAACTTGGATTTGCACATTCTTCATAATGCTCCGCCAAGTGATATTATTGGCATATTTTTTTCTTTTTGCTGCACTATTATTGACATTTAAAAAAAAAGATTACGATGTTGATTGATCTAATTAATGAATAAGTACATAATCAGTTTGAAGAAAAAAGTGTTTCTCACTAAAGAACATTACAAATTTATATTAAATGAGATTTGCAGTAACTCAAGGGTGATTATAAGATCATCTCCAACCCTTGGGTTAAAACTTAAAATTTTTAACCTAAAAAATTTAGGTTTTAATCCAAAAACAATTTTCCTCCTCCAATCCTTATGGGTTAAATTTTAGTCCGAGATTATTAAAAAAAGAATTTAGGATAATTTTGTTTTCTAAAGTAACTTTAAAAAAAATTATGTAAACTATCCTAATTTAATTTTATGAACATTTTAACCTAAAAATATATAGATTTTGATAAATATTAAAAAAGCAATAAACTGACACCATGAAACTCGTGAAACAAAAGAATATGAAACACATAAAATAATTTTTTAATTACTTTAGCTGTTAAATTTAAATTTGGACCATTAGATCTTCTTTTTTACCATTTGGATTTGACCATATTAGATCTTAGCCGTTGAGTTCAATGAATTTATAAATATCAAACTAAAAACATACATATATAGTGGGCCAACCCCGACTAAGATCATCTCCAACCCTGACTTATAACCTAAAAAATTTAGGTTTTAACCCAGAAACAACTTTTCTGCTCCAACCCTTCTGGCCTAAAATTTTAGCCCGAGATTATCAAAAAATGAATTAAGGCTTTTTTTTTTAAATTAACTTAAAAAATCCTAAATTAATTTTATGAACATTTTAACCTTAAAATATTTGAATTCCGATAAATTTTGAAAAATCACTAAATCAATACATGAAAATCATGATAAACCACTTAAACTTAATACAAACGACATTTTAGCCTTTGGTTTTACATTTGGACCGTTAGATTTTATTATATTTAAGGAAAAATTAGTATCCGGTCTCTAGTTCTTACTGTTCATTGATTAAGACCTTATTAGTTCTCAAATTTTGATTCAAGTCCCTATCATTAATGTGATAATGAATTTACATGTTTATTATATAATTTTTAATATAAAAATTAGTAATTAATTTAGGGTTTAATACTCACACCTCTATTAAACTTCTAATTAATTTTCAATTCAAACATTTCTAAAATAATAAAAAATTAAATTAAATTAAGTTTGTACCTATTAGTTTTTTTATATATATAAAAAGATTCTCAATTTTTTAATCTTAAATGTACCCATTCATATAATTTTTCAAATTTTTAAATCTTAAATGTACCCATTCTCAAATATATCAATTTGTTATATGTAAAATGTACCTTTTTTTTAATATAAAATCCATTCAAATTTTTTAATCCATGTTTAAACTTATATGGGTACATTCTTTTTCGTTGATTTGAGAATGTATCCATGTTTTGGTACAATACCTTTTTTTGTTAATTTTGGTTAATGTACCCATACATATATGTATACACACACACACACACACACAATATAATAGAGAGTATAATTTATATTTTATTATTTTTAATCCCATAAATTATGGGTTTTATTTAAAATCTCATTAATATAAACAATTACAAATTTCAATTTTTAATTTTTAATTTAAAAATATAGTAACTTACATTATTATATTAATGTTAGGGACCTCAATCAAAAACTAAAAACTAACAAGGTTTCAATCAAAGAATATTGATAGTTAGGGACTACATCCAAAGTGTCCCTATATTTAATCTAAACCGTTGGATTCAATAAATATATAAATACAAAACTAAAAAAAAAATTGAACTTGGACCGTTGGATTAATCAACGGCCCATTTAAATCCAGCCATTGGATGAAGAAAAGTAGTCGTTGGGCTATATAATTGTCTAACACCCGGGGGAACAACCTCACGTGGGTTGGTTGGGCTGCATAAAAAGCCTAGCACGTGCAACGCATAGACGTTTAGGTTTTGGGCAGTGGACTTCATAGCCCCGATAGGGTCCACTTTGCTTTGTGGCCTAAAGTTGGGCTGGTATTTGGACTCAGAATAAGTTTTAGGTTTTAGGTTAGTTTTAGGACATGGGTTGGGTTGGGTTTTGGGGGGAAAAAGAAGGAGAATTTTAGGTTATAAGGCAGGGTTGGAGTGAGTCTAACTGGGGGAAATCCTGGGCTAAATTTGCCCCATAAATGAGTTTTGGGTTAAAACTCATATTTGCCCCAAGGGTTGGAGTAAGTTGGGGTAAGTTTAGAACCTAAAATTTGAGTTGTACTCCAATGATTGAAGTAGGTCTAAGGGATTTATAGTATATTATATATATAGCTTTTTTTTTTTTGGACAAACGATAGCGTTAGTGGATTAAATAATTTAATATTAGGGGGAAAGGTAATTGATGGGGATCAACCCTGATGCAAGACAAACCAAATGACTGGGGGAGATAACCTGGGAATCACTTAACCAGGGGCAACGGAACTCGCTTGCGTTGCTAATCGTGGATTCACTCACACGACCAAGTCAAACACTTGATTGTAGAAGGAGGAAACACTCACTCCAAATGCACAAGGCAAATAAACTATTTTTCATTCATTCAAGTCCCCTTTCTCAAGGGTTTAGTACATATATTTATAAGGAATATAACACAAAGAAACTCTAGTCCGAATTGGACTTTTGCCCTACCCAAAAATATTTAAAATGTTCTTAAATGACTACTTAATTATTTGTGTTGCTCCAAAACTCAATTAAATATATTTGATGGTTCCAATACGCATGAGACTCTTGGTAGATTCCAATACATGCATGAGAGGTTTGGTTACTGCATCATTATCCTCTTCTCTAAAGAAACTCATCCTCGAGTTTAAGGGGGGTGTAATCAAACTTGAATTTGAGAGGATTTTAAAAGACTTTAAAATCCTAGGGTAGTCAATTAAAAGATTTTAAATGATTTTAGAATCCATTCAAATTTAAATCTAGGTGTAGTCAATTAAAAGATTTTAAAGGATTTTATAATCCATCCAAATCTAAGTGTATTAAAAAAATTATGATATTGGAGGATTTCAAAAAGTTGTGGATTTTGTGGGATTTGAAAGCAAAAAGTATGTATAACCAAAACTAAAAAGAATCCAACTTCACCCCCTAGGATTTCAAATCCTTCCCCCACAATCCACCACAATCCATTCAAATTCTTTAAAATCCATATAAATTTTGTAGGAGTCTTTAATCCTCTTAAATCCTATCAAATCTATCACTTTTAAAATCTTTTAAAATCTTAGTTTGACTACACCCCCCTAAATCTTTGTTGACTCCGTTATAATCTTGAAACTGATTTTTGCCTTTCCACGTGAATAAGTACTTAGAATATTTTTTATTCTTGAAGTGGTAAATTCATGCTCCATGAAATTTTTTGCAATCCAACTGATATCAATCTTCATTTGATTGACTAAATCAAATGAAACTTGAGAAGCCTTCCAATTAAAATTCAAAACCAATAAAATCAATGTATTCATAAATAGCATCTTCTTTCATATCAACAATATCTTGGAATTTGATATCTCCCACTTCAGCAACATTACCGACTTCCTTCAAAGATTCGTGAGATGAAAACCCTTCTTCTCTCCCACCGAAACTTTTGTTATTACTCAAGCTAAAACCATCACAAATTTCACAATTACTCAAGCAACGATCAAATAAGGGAGGAATACTTGTGACAGTCCGTCCCTAATTTTAAGAATTTTTAAAGTTTTAGTAAAGGATTTTATAAAAATGCCCATTGAGGTACGCGCATTATTCAAGGTTAATCGTTGTGTCGTGCCATCTAAGATTTGTTTTCTTGACATATCCTCGTGGTACTCGTCACTACGGAAGCGTGGGCGCAGATGGTTCGTGATTTGGAGTTATAACGAATAAGATTTTAAAGTTTGAAGTTTGGGCATTTTATAAATTTTATTATTAAAATTTGGATGACCCAGATTAAAGGAATTTGAAATTGATGGTTGGGATGAGAGAAAGAAAGTTTTGTATGTGTGTGTGCGTGAGAGGAAAAAAGAAAACAGAGAGAAAGAGAGATTGGGCAAAGCTGCCCAATCGGAGAAGAATGAGGAGAGGCCGAATGGGGAGAGGAGAGAGGAAGCTGACTGGCCAACCAGAGGAAGGAAAGGAGGAAAGGAGAGGGCGAGAAGCGGAGGAGAGAAGGACGAAACGGGTTTTCCCCAACCCGTGTACCCGCGC